TACTTGAAGTGCAGCACGTCCATCCCGATGGACTGGGGGGGCCTCTTGAGCACCACCTCGTCCCAGTAGGTCTTGACCTTCTGGTAGCACTCGTCGTCCTTGTTGGGGCCCGTGGGGCCCGTCTTGTCGAGCGCCCTCTTGAGGATCCAGATGTACACCTGCACGTAGGGGGCTCCGCGTGCCTTGTAGTCGATGGTCTCGCCGGCCTTCTCGCGCTCCTTGAGCGTCTTCGACTCTAGGTCGTAGGCCGCGCCTGCGGCCTTGCACACCGCGCCAACTGTGTTGGCGTCTCCCTCCTCCACGAAGTACGTCTCGTAGACCGTGTTCTCCAAGGACGCGAGCTGGCGGGCCCCCGACAGCACCAGCTTCGCGATCAACACGAGCAGCTCCGTCTCCCACTTGTCGCCGTCCTTCTTGACGCCCTGAATACGGGAGCCTCCTCGCGCGTGTTTGGCCTCCGATTCTGGGGCCGTCGTCGTCCTCTTCATCCAGCTGGGCATCTCCGCGTCCGCGGAGCCCGATCCTGCTGCTGCTCCGACCTCTGGCATGTCTGGAAAGAAGGTGCTCGTGGGGAACACGATGCGGAAAAGGAAGCACACGATATGGAAGATGGGCCAGTTGATGGCTACGGAGGGCCTCCCAGTCCCCACCCACGAACGAGCACATGTTGCAGCTGAAGTCTGTGGGCGGTTTGAACTCTACCAGAGATCGTGGCTCCCAACGTCCGCAGTATCCTCTCAGTATTGATGCCTGTAGATGTCTAGCAGCAGTAGTTTGAGAACGAAAGACACGAACACATACTGGGCATTGATTCGTTTTGGTGAGAGCGTGTGGGAGGTTGCGGATGTGATGACGGTGACGTAGGTGCTCCATAAGCCCCTTCTGCGTCCTGAAACGTGCTCCACACTCCTCCTCTGGCCCCTCCCCGTCCCTGACGAAGGTTGTGCACTTGTAGGGGTACTCCTCCTCCTCCATCTGATCGTTGGTGCCTCCTTCCTCCTCCGTCTCCCTCTGCTCGAAGTTGGGGGGTGGGATGGCATACGTGCGTTCAGCGGCTCGGACTCTGCGGAAATCGATTCGGGCGAAATCTCGACGGCAATCATCATCTTCGATCAGTAACCAAGGGCATTCTCCAATCCTAGTGAGCAGCTCCTCCTCATCATAGCAAAAACGTACCGACTCAAGGATGTCCGTCCCGACTCTCTGGGTCCAAGGGGAAGCGTATTGTGTCAATCCCGTGGCGCTACACGGCATCGCATCCATCGCCTCGAAGGGGAAAGCGCCGAAGAGTGCGGACAACACCTGCACGTGAGACTCCTGATTCACTGCCCAATCCTGGTACCATGCAAGACGCCGTGCTAACAACTCTCGTTTGGTGGTGACAACCCCCCAGTATGCCAGGACCTCGTGCGTGCTGAGCGTGCGCTTGGACCCGTCCTCCCTCGTCGTGCAAGCCCTCCCCCTCATTGCCATTCTTCCCAATCTTGCTAGGTGTCTATCCATAGCTTCCATTTGTTTAGTACTTACTAGGAAAGGTTCCATGCCCGTTAACAGAGAACCCTGGACTAACCCTTGGAAGATCGTACGACGCCAGGCCTGAGGAAGAGGAAGGTTCCAGAAACCACCCATGCTGTAGTACGATGAGGTCGCTGCCGAGAGACGTCGTTCGACCTCTGGGGAAGACTGCTGTGTGGGTGTTAATACTGGTCCCAGATATCTTGCCACATCGGTAACTGTTCCCTCCATCTGCTGCCTAGCTATACCGTGCTCTCTGATGTGCTTCTTGCAATCGGTGGCGCGCTGTCCTTCGATGTAGAATAACGTGACCTGCTTGCTCTTGTTCTGCGTGTAACCTGCCGTGGCGAGTGCGGTATCTAGTAGCTCGTCTGATGTACGTAATGACTGATATACCTCACGCATGCTAGTGCCCGTGGCCAGTGGGATCGTTCTTAACAAGTCATCGGCGTATTTCTGGTATGACATGTCCGCTGGTTCACCGCACCATTCCCCTAACAATATCGAGGTCGTGGGTATACGCTCTAACATACCTGCTGCCCATTGATTAACTGGATCAACAAAGGCTCCTGAGAAACCGTGAACGTTAAAAGGGTCTCCCATTACTCCGCCAACTCCTGTTTTAACCATCAGTGGACCCGTCGTGGTGTCTAACTCTACAACTGATAGTCGATAACGTTGGCGGCATAATACTCGATCACAAGGACGAACTGTTTCTCGGACGACTTCATCTAGCTTGCTCCATTTAGTACTTCCAAAGGCATTCGAAAGGTCCTTAAGCGTAACTGCATATGACCACTTGGCCTGTCTCAACCTGTAGCACACAATCATCGTCGACATGATTGCGTCCTCTCGGCGACGGTGCCTTGCAAAGCCGTGGTCCTGAATGGGAAGCCTGTGGGATATCCGACGTGCATACCAAGCCTTCCCGATGGCGGGAAGGGTGTGGATTACTCTACGTCCCCTAGGCCCCGCTGAGTCGTTTTTGTGGAGTCCGATGCCCTTGGAACGGTGCCAGTACAGCGGCGGCAAATCTGTTCGTCTTATCTGAGCGAGCCCAAGATGAAGAAGGTGATGAGTTTTCCGAAGATCAGGGGGTTCCTCATTGTGTCCCAGGCCGTGTCCCCGAGAAGAGATGCCGTGCGAGGGGGACAAGAGCATATCCCAGATCTCCAGTGGCGTGGTCCCTGGTGGCACCACCCGTCGTTTCCCTGCCTTCCTGCAGTAGCTCCTAAGCGTGCCGAAATCCTCGCCAGCCAACTGTGCAATGGCATCCTCGTCGCCTGCTGACGTGGGGGGTACTGGTAAGTTTTCCCTCTCTTGCCTCCACTCCGACCAGTCCATTTGTCTCGCTTCCATACCCCCTTCAGGCCCCGTTTTGGAAAGGTGCTCGATCCAGACTTCTTTGTCCAGGGGAGGGGGTCCGAGGCGGCGTCCATCCCGTTGTTTCGCACCGAATCGAGTCCTTGCCGCCTTCCTCGACAACGTCGTAGCATCCGCCATCCTCCTCTCCCTCCACGCCTCCTCGATCATCTCGATGTACATCCTCCTCTCTTCCCTCCTGGCACGCCGTCGTTCCACGAGCAGCATAGCAGACAACCTCTTCAGCTCCTCCTCCACCTCCAGTAAGGATAAGACAGCGGGTTGTTCACCCAATGTTTGCCCCTGCGCTGTGTGGCTCAAGGCTACCAAAACAGCTCGCTCCTTCCTCAGCTTGTCCTCCTGGTCCTCCTCCACCGGTGGCAGATTAAGTTTGGACTCCTTAAGTTGAAGACGCAGTCGCAGCAGCTCTCGTCGACGCTTGGTTGCATTAGGATCCGATGCCTGAGGTGCCCGCGAAAAATGTCGGTGCCCGATGGTAGTCAATACATCCTCCATTTTCTCGAAGAAAGTGTCGGCCGATCCTGTCTGGGCGTAGCCCTCGAACTCGGCCTCACGTGCTTCCAGTTCCGTAGCTACTGCCTGGAGGAAGTCGCTCTTACCTTTCCCACTGCGGACAGCTTGCATGAGCGCCGACGGGTCCATTCTTTTTGGGGGGGCCAGGGGCAACATATACGGGTCCTTTTCATAGTCCAGCACGAGACAGAGAGGTAGATGATCAGGGGGGGGTAGTCCCTTGATTGCTTGCAACTGAGCCCCCAAAGGGCGTAATACCTTACATACCCGAACACGTTCATGGTATCCAGCAGGGAGAAACCAATAGTCAATTCTCGATGCCGTCGGAGGGTTGGCGGACGAGTAGAAGGTGTTCTCGAAAGGGAGGAAGGTCGACGGCGCGACGAGGTGCTGCTCCTCGAGCAACTTGCGGATTTCCTCGCCCGCTCCACGTCGTCTGGCCTCTCTGTTCCTATAGGGACCGATGGAGGAACTCGGTGGTTCCGTCCATGTACCTGAGATTTTGGAGCATCCTAATCCGTCGTTTAAATCAGCGTAAAATATGGGCAATGTGCGCGCAGGTAGTTCTTGTAACAGGTCCCTCATCCATCTAGTCAGTGCTTGCACCGTGGCGTAGTAGGGGCCTGCTTGTCCACGCTTGGAGGGTTGTGGCGGGTAGTAGAGGGCTCCCAGGGTCACATCCACCGCACCACGTTTTATCCTGGCAGCCACGGCCCTCCCCCCACAGTTAGCTGGAGACCCCCACACCTGGGCGACGTCCTTGTCACGGTATTCTGGGCCTAGTATTACTGCGCACCCCGTCGAGCTGTTAGTGTAGGCCCCAGGCGAATAAACTGCCTCGATCACCAGCCTCCCATCCACCCTTCGTCGTAGTACTCCCGTCCCCCTCCTACAACTCTCCTTGGTCCCTGCAAGCAAGAGGGCATCGGAGGGGCGGGTGGCGGCGAGCAGCTCGTGCAGCCGCTCGCCCGTCGCGTGGAGGGGGTTGAAGGCGAGGACTCGCAGGGCGGTCCTCGCCGCGGCGCCCGCGCTAGCGCCATGGGCCCGACGCATGGAGGAGCTCTCCGACCCCTCGGCACACTGTGGAAGTGCCGTGAACCCCTGTTCCTGGCGGGCCCTGAGCCGCGCAGGGGCTGGAGGAGGCGCAGGAGGAGGAGGAGGAGGGGGAGGAGGGGGAGGAGGGGGAGGAGGCGAAAGATGAGACGAGCGTCTAGAGGAGTCCTCGTGCCTCTCCAATAGGCGCCCCAAGACCCGTTGGCCTTCGGAGCGGGGGCGGCATCAAGTGGCGTTCCTGCCTTGAGGAAGCCGCTGGGGGCCACGTCGACAGCGCCGGTCGGCGGCGCGGGGCCGCTCTCTCTCGGGGGATGGGTGCAGGTACGGAGGAGGAGGAGGAGCAGGAGGAGGAGGAGGAGGAGGAGGAGGAGGAAGAAGGACGACGACGACGACGACGACGACGACGACGACGACGACGACGACGACGACGACGACGACGACGACGACGACCGTTCTCCTGCCGCAGCCTGGCGCGCGCCACGCGCCACGCGCGAGGGCGGGGCCCTCCGCGCGCTACCCCCCTGGGGGCGGGGCGCCTTGTAGAAGTCCGGGCGCCAGGTGGGCGCGGCCTCCGGGGGCGTGGCGGCCGCCTGGGGGGCGGCGGCGGCGACGTCGCCTGCCTCCAGTCGGGCATGTCCCTCCACAGGAGGAATACAGTCAACCCGTATCATAATGCGGGATGACGAGGAATAAAAAAGAATGGGGGGGAACGATAAAAAAATAGTTTTCTGCTATCTCTGCACAAGTTTCTGACTGGAGGAGGACGATTGAAACAAATAGTTGTCCAGCCCGCGGCCGGTTTTTTCTAAGCGTCATCCCGGGCGCCGCCGCGTGAACACGACCCCGGGTCATTTATTAATCGTCATCCTCCATTAAGGATGTGCGGAAAGGATGCAAGGGCCTTGGAAGGCCATGCCGACACTCTGCGAGCGGGGCGTGGCCAGCGAAAGCGACCAAGGATGGGCCGCAAGGGAAGGATGCGAGGGCACCCTTGGAAAAGTCGCTCATCCTTACTGCTCGGGTCGACTGTATCCAAGAATGGTTCAAAATAGTGTGGTGACGACGTGTCGTGCCCTTTCGACTTTCTCCCAACATCGACCCGTAGGAGGACGTGCGCGACCTAACGCTCGCCACCGCTCGGGCGTCCCCTCCTCGCGCGTTCTTGGGTATCGTGCGTGCTCTGTTTGCCAGGTGATCCAGGAGGCTCCTCGATGGCCCTCGCCGAGAAAAAATGCACAAGTCCGAGCTATGCCCAGGTCGACGACGGCGACGACCTCGATGGCGGCGGCGTCGACAGCACACGGCGACTCAGACGCCCGAATTATCCCGGATAACTGGTGTCCGGGGTAACTCCAGAGGGTTGGACGCCCGACCTATCTGGCATGACTGCGGCCCGGGGTAACTCCGGTTTGGGCACCCGAGGCGCGAACCTGTAGCTACCCCTGACCGCCCCCAGCCCTGATGATTCGATGCTCTGATCGACGGCGGTGGCGGTGTCGACACCACACGGCGACGGCCACGACGCCGAAGAGTCTCAGCACCCGCAGCCGGCACTGCGCAGGGGAGGGCCTTTCCCGATCGAGGCCAGGGGGCGGGGCGGGTGCGGTTGGCGGCAGCGAGGGCGAGGACGGCGACGGCGTGGGCAACGATGGCAAGGGCGACGAGGAGAGTAGCGGTGACGAGGAGGACAAAGGACGACGAGGAGGGCGACGAAGAGCAAGGCCTGTCGTCGTCATCGTCATTATACTCGGCATCCTCGACGGCCCATCCTCGTCGCCCTTCGTCCTCATCGTCACCGTCGTCACCGTCGACGTCCCCGGACGTCTGGGCGTCGTGAGAAAATCACCACGGCGGGTCGACTCGCCCAGGTCTGGGCTCCAGAAACCCAACGTGTCGATCTGGCTTTAGGTCGGGCATGTCCTCCTACAGGCAGGTTTTGGATGAAAACATACTTCAAACTTAACCAAAACCAATGTTCAAAAATCGTCCCCAGGCTATTGTTGAACTGTGTTTGAGTAGTTTTCATGTAGAGGGACATGCCCGACTTAAATCTGGCTTGAAGAACCCTGCGGGAAGGTGGGGCCGAGTACCCAACGGCCGTGTGCTTTCACAAGGTCATCGTCCCAATGGCGCGTTGAGGCGTGCCGGTGTGTCCAAATGTCCGACTGCATCCGTGCTGCACCTGTTCCGGGCGGCCACCCGCCCTCGGTGCGGAGCCTCGTGGACAGCCGCCCCGCCCACGCTTTGATCTCTGGTGCTCTTCAGCTGAAGAGCGTCAGGGATGTGTTGGTGAGCGTTTCTTTAATTCGCGTTTCGATCTTGGGCGGCAAGGGAGAGGAGAGGGGGGGGTCTGGCTCTGGACCTCTGCTTGGCGCGACTGTTTGAGACAGTGCGTCCTATGGGGGAGACCCCACCTGCTCGAAACAGGCGGCAGAAAACAGCCAAGATCTACTCCAGGGGGGGGGGGAGGGGGGGGGCGAGGACCCGCGCCGATCGGCAAAGCCACGAATAAAAAACAATCGCTTGCGTTTAACAGCGCGCTGCAACGTATCGCGTTGATCGGGGATGAACAGACCTCCCTTTAGTAAAGCGTGGTTTAGTGAAAACGACCTGAGGCCCAAATCTGGCGGGCGCAAGCCTGGAAAATAACGGCCACGGCGCCCTCTCGAGAACCGAAAACGGACAATTCACTAATCGACGTGTCACTGTTGGGGGTTCTGTCCACCTCCGAGTTGAAGCGATTGCACAGCATTCGATTGGTGTCCCTTTTGGCTGTTTCGTTGAATAGATTTGCGCTGCGCGGCTGGAGTGATGGCTGAGAGCCTCGGGAACTGCCGCACGCTGACTCGGTTGGTTTTCCAATGCTTTGCAAAGCATTGTGTCGCATGGAACTGCGCTGCATTGCAAGTTGTTGACTCATTCGCGGCAGGGTCGTGCTGCTTCCCAACCACTTCGGCTTCACCTGGGATCAGCAAGGTCTCAGGAGGCCCCCCCAAAAGGCCCCAGATGGCCCAAGAAGTGCCCGATCTGACCGAAGACAGCCACAGGAAGGCCACCAGGCGGCCGAGAGACCCCCAAGACGCCCCCAGGTCGTCCCGAGACTGCTCCAAGATTGCCCCATGAGCCACCCAGACGACCTCAAGAAAACTCTAGCGAGCCTCATCGAGAGGGCTCGGAAGAGCCGCCGAACCCAAACCCACCCCCGAGATCCCCCAACGGCCCCCCAGGATTCCCCGAGAAGTTGCCGAGAGGGCCTCTGAGACGCCTCCAGGAGGCAGCGCAAGAACCTTCGCAACATGAAGGCCCCGCCACGGAGATCATGGCAGCCCTGTGACAGGCACCCTTGCTGGCGATCGAGGTGACGCGGCACGCGGAAGGAGATTCTCTGGCGTGGTGGAGAGCAGAGACGCGCGGAGGAGCGAAGTCGACTACATGCAAGAGGGCCCCTGGAGGAGAGTGACCTTTGGTGCGCGACTGTTGGGGGGCCGCGGGGGGACCAAGCACAAGCGCTCAAGACGCTACTATATCGCATCTCGTTCAGCGATCGGGGCACCCCGCTGGGCAGGCACCAAAGATCACTCTAGCGAAATGTCACTCTGGCGTCTGGTCGACGCATGGCGAGGGAAAGCCTCTGGGAGCGGTCTGGGGCCCGAATGCGGCTCCATGGGGTGCAAGATGACCTCCGCCACTGTGGCTCTAGCTCGGGTGCTGCTAGAAGTGCCCCTGGCCCAGGGCGACCTCGGGATTTCCAAGGAGGCCCCCACGACCTCCAGAGCACCCCTTACGAGGCTCAGAGGGTCCCACGGGCTCCAAAGTTGAGAGAAAAGCTGGGGGTGTACCTTGGGCCAGGGTTGTGGATGCCACGACAACAGCCAGTGAATTTAGATGTGTTTGAAATGCCGGAAACATGTTCGAAACATGTCTCAAACATGTTTTTGTTTCATGAAATTGTTTGGCAACATGCTTCCTCTCCATGGATCGTTCTCCACAGAGCTGCGGGGGGTGCCTCGGGCCAGGGGCACCTTTGGCAACCCCCGGAAGGACCGTAGATCAGCTACAAAGCGGCTCGGCACAGCCATCGAAAAAACCCATCAGGCGCGCGAGTACCTCGTCGCGCTCTCCGGCATACCTCGTAGAGCTCTTCGGCATACCTCGTAGAGCTCTTCGGCATCGATGAGCTCGAGGAGTTCCTGCTCCCGACGGGGAGTTTGGACGCCCGAAGTGGGTACGGAAAACATGGGTACAGTGCCCAACAACAAATCTTGTCCAAAACCATCAACGGCCGCTGTTGGGCAGGCGGCCTTCTCTCGAATGGACACAGGCCGCGGCGGCGCGGACAGCGAGTCCTGCTCAGAATGAGCAGGAACTGCTGTTGGGCATTGCACCCATTCTTTCCGTACCCATTTCGGGTGTCCAGAGGGAAGGGGTCCACCCTAGCACCTCGTAGAGCTCTCCGGCACACCTCGTGGAGCTCTTCGGCATACTTCGCAGAGCCCTTCGGCATCGCTGAGCTGGAGGAATTCCTGCTCCCGACGGGCAAGGGCTCTGCCTCTCGCCTCTGCCGACGCCCCCCCTGCCCACGCCCGGCGGCGCGGCGGCCGGCGTGGCCTGGGCCTCGGCGTGCACCTCCTCGGAGGCGCTCTGGCTGGCGTCGTCGCCGGGCGGGGTCCCGCCGCCCACGATGGCCTCGCATAAGGGAACGACCAGGGACATACCAATGGTATATCCTCCTTGGAGGCGCGCGTCCGGCCCGAACATGTAGTATACCCATCTTGCAATGTATCGTTTCTCTTTAGCGCCCGCCACGACGCATATACTACAAGATTTCTCGGTGCGCGCGTCGCCCCTGAGGGGGCGACGCACATATTGTATAAGTATGTTAGGGTGACGCCGACCATAGGGGAACGACGAATGACATGAACATAAAACAACTCGGAGGTCCGCGCGGATTTCTCGGATCCGCGCTGGGGCCCCCTGGAGGCGCCTCCGGCGCCGCCCCTGGCGCGCTCCGCGCGCCAGGGAGGGGGGTCTAGTGCCGATCCGAGAAATCCGCGCGGACCTCCGAGTTTTTATGTTTCTGCCATTCTTCGTTCCCCTATCCCAGGATGCTGGGGAAGCGAGGGTCAGGACGTGAGGCAAAGGGGGACGATGGCGAAGCGAGCACGGCCTGACACGCAAGTCACCAAACTTCGTGCTTTGCACCGCGCCCTGGAGAAGAACAGTAGATCCGGCCTTGTCCACAAGGCGCGAAGCACGATTGTCTTTGCGCACCTGGGTGATCGAAGGCACGGTTGTGGCGCCGAGGCAACACTTGTTAGACCACTTCTTGAAAATCTGAATGTTCACTGGCAGCGGATGCGTTTTGAGCTACCCCCTACGCTTTTACATCAAGTCCCCTGCATTGTACCCACGAAGGCTCGTCGACGCTCCACCCTGGCGCAACTCAACTGCAATCTGAGTCGCTGCAACTCGCCCCGCTTAGCTTTAACTATCCCACAAGAATTCGACGCTTTCAACAGACCCATCCAACCCCACCCTCACCGACATGGCCCACCGCCAGCCGGCAAAACCGCCCTACTTGGCCCCATTCAGATGTCCCCTCCCCGATCGTCACTTCCACTCGCTTCGCCTGCACAGGCAGCGCCTGGCGCCGCCCAAGCTTGTAGCCGCCGTTTGTCCCACATGGCCCCGTTCCAGACAAAAAACACACAAACACAGACACGCACACGCACACGCACACACACACAAACACACACACACACACACACGCACACGCACACGCACACGCACACGCACACGCACACGCACACGCACACGCACAGGCAGACGCACACGCACACGCACACGCACACGCACACGCACAGGCACAGGCACAGGCACACGCACACGCACACGCACACGCACACGCACACGCACACGCACACGCACACGCACACGCACACGCACACGCACACGCACACGCACACGCACACGCACACGCACACGCACACGCACACGCACACGCACACGCACACGCACACGCACACGCACACGCACACGCACACGCACACGCACACGCACACGCACACGCACACGCACACGCACACGCACACGCACACGCACACGCACACGCACACGCACACGCACACGCACACGCACACGCACACGCACACGCACACGCACACACGCACACGCACACGCACACGCACACGCACACGCACACGCACACGCACACGCACACGCACACGCACACGCACACGCACACACGCACACGCACACGCACACGCACACGCACACGCACACGCACACGCACACGCACACGCACACGCACACGCACACGCACACGCACACGCACACGCACACGCACACGCACACGCACACGCACACGCACACGCACACGCACACGCACCGACGAATTCGCGAAAAGGTGCATTACCGGCAGGGTCCCACATCCGATAGCGACCCACAGGAGGCCGAAGATGGCAATACCAATCCAGTGGCCCCGTAGGTCGTGGTCGGACGTTCGTGGCTGGGGGTTGTGGTGGGTTGTAGTTAACCTGCGTGGGGGTGGAGGCGGCGTAATGTCGTATCGCATCCTACCATGCACGTGTTCTTGTGGCTGTGCGTACTTATGTACCTTTCTCCGCGCAGACCCACTGCACCCTGATGTTCCACCATGTCAATAGTCCACCAGACAGTGCCGTGGATGGTTAAGAGTAGAGCTAGATCTGACCACCATAGACCAGCTCCGCTACCAAGTTTGAAGGGGGTTGGGAGACCCAACCAGCAGCTTCGCCTGAGGCGAAGCCCATAGTCAGCCCTGTTGTATCGTAGTAGCGATAGTACCAGAAGTAAGAGATCGTCGCGGGAGCGACGGGCCATGTCAAGCGAAGTTGTTTTCGGTTTCAATGTTCGATGGCAAGTAGTGTGCCTCGCGTTGAAGCGCAGTCATATGTTGGCGGCCGGCCGCTTGAGAACAAACGGCCACGGACAAACGCTCGCTATCTCTCGCCTTTGCCCCAGCCTCCTTTAGAGTCAGGCGCCACGTCGGACGCAGGCTCGACGCGAGGTCAGGAAGTCGTTTGGAAGCACATCAGCCCTGAGGAAAGGGACCAATTTCGAGCGTCAGACTCGTCGGAGTGGCAAGCGATGATGCAGACGAAAGCTGTCGGGGCCCTTCCCTCCCAAGAAGCGAACATGGTCCGCCGACGGGATCCCTCCAGGATCCTCTCTTCAGGAATGGTGCGGCGCTGGAAGCCCCAGGAGGGCACAGAGGCGCTTCCTCGCGCCAAGAGTCGATGTTGCGTCCGGGGATATGCGGACCCAGACGCCGAGTCTCTCAGAGTATATGCCCCCACGGCCCAGGAAGAACCAGTGCTCGTCGTACTCCAGCTCGTCGCAGGCAAGCGTTGGAAGTTGCAAGTAGCGGACTGCAAGAACGCTTTCTGTAAGGCCGATCCCCTCTCTCGCCCCTATGGCAAGATCTACGTTGAGCCATGTGACGGAGTTGACGTCCCCAAAGGCAGTGTGTTGGAGTTGATGGCCCCGGTGTACGGTTTGAATGATGCTCCGATTCGGTGGCATCAGACGCTGACGGCTTTCCTCAAAACTCTGGGATTCCAGCGCTCCCTCCTGGAGCCGTGTCTGTGGGTGGCCCATTCCTCGTCAGGATGTTTTCAAGCAGTGATAGCCATCGAGGTGGATGACCTGATCATTGCCTGTCATCCCGCTTGCGAGGAGAGTCTCAAGCAGAAGCTGACGGGGAGGTTCCATTTCGGGAAGTGGCAGCTGCACGAAGCCGAGTGTGCGGGGCGCCGGATTCGTCAAATGCCCGACAGGCGCATCCTGATTGACCAGGAAAAATGTGTGCTGGAACAGGTTCGACCCATGAAGATTGATCGCGATCGCGCGGGACAGCCTGGGCAGCTGCTGGATAGCCGAGAGCTTCGAGACTACCGGGGGTTGTTCGCGAAGATCCTCTGGGTCGCCCGCCAGTCCGGGCCAGATGTTGCAGGGTCAGCGGCCATTCTCAGTGCCGAGTGTCCCCACGTGACAGTTGCGTCAGCTCTGATAGCCAAACGAGTGGCCAGGCATCTTAGGGGGACGGCATATAACGCTCTCACGGTGTGGCCCCTAGATCTGACTGCAGTGACCGTGATCACCTGCAGCGACGCTGGAGGCCCCGGCTCAGCGAAGCGTGACGGGGCCCAGGGAGTGGTCCTGCTCGGGGAATCCCGCACTCGTCACGATCAGAGGGCGCGGGTGTCGCTCCTCTCCTGGCGGAGTCAGCGCTTTCGCAGTGTCGTGCCCTCGACTTTGTCCGCCGAGACTCGGAGTTTGTCTGGGGCCCTGGCCGAGGGACAGTGGCTCTGGCTGGTTTTTCGGGATGCTCTGTACGCGGACGTTCGAGGCCCAGACTGGTGGACGACCAGCACGGCCTGCCCGCTTGCCGTGGCCCTCCCGGGCGACTGCGCGATCGCCGAGGCCTCCCAGGGTGTCGCAATCGTTAATGCTAAGTCGCTGTTTGAGATACTACTGTTTAAGAATTGCGGAGGGGGAAAAGCTGACCGCCGAATTTGTATCGAGATGGCCGTCGTCCGCGACTCGATGATCGCTCAGAACACTGTGATCAGGTGGGTCCCCCACTGCAAGATGCCCGCCGACAGCATGACGAAAAACGACCCCCTGAAAGGCAACTACGCGTCAGCCGACCTGATGGGGAAGAGGACCCTGGCCCTCACGTGTGAGACCCGCTCGATCGACGAGCGATCCCTGAACCTGGCCCTCAAGTCTCGAAGCAGAACGGCGTCCCGTCGAGTGCTGGCCCGCGAATCCGTCACCTCAGACGAGCTAGCGGCTGAAGCCGAGGAGAAGCCTGAGGAAGAGGGAGGCAGGGAGGCAGGAGGAAGAGAGGAGGGGGCCCTGTCCTGCGTGCCATCCTGTCCCCCGGGACTGCCATGACCGACCGGCTCGAGAGCCGACGAGGAGGTAGGAGGCGAGGAGGAGGAGAGGGCCCGCGCGCCGCCAGGAGCAGATGACGGGAACGCCGCCGTGACGTACCCCGTGGGGGGGAGCCCTGGGGGAGAAACGGGAAAGGGAGAACTCGAGCGCCGCAGGGCCGAGCTCTCACAGTGCACAGTTTCGTGAAAGGGCTCGATGGGGTACTAAAATGGAGGGCGCTGTCTTACGACACCCTTTCGCCCCTACCCCTCGAGCCCCCCTTGAAGAGTTTTGAGCATCGTTGTGTGTGTACAGCGTGTTGCTGGACACTGTGCTTAGCGTTACAGGGGTAGCTGTCTGCACTATGGAGGGAGTGCAGACAAGACATGACTATCATCATGTTGGCTCAAGTCTCTAAAAGGTGCAGGGTGAGGAGGGGACATCGTCCATCGTCATTCCTCCGGTCCCTCCCTCGTCCCCGACCGATCCGCTAGTCGCCTCGCATTAATCATTTGTATATCAGTTGTGTGTCACCTTCTTAGGCGCCTCGCGAATGATTAGAGCGTCCAAGATGGCACAATTTGGCTCCAGGAGGGCTTCGGATAGCCCAGGATGGCGTCCAAGATCCTACAGCTCAAGATGGTTCAAGATGCCCAGCATGCCTCCAAAGGTCCCAAGACCCAAGACCGCCGCAAGACGGTTGCAAATGGTCACAGAACCCCCAAAGGATCCCCCCCAAGAAGCCCAAATCCTTCAAACGCATCGTCTGTGTTTTCCCCACGTCTTGAGTGGGATTCTGGTTCTCCCAGAGCACTCTCTCCTTCCTCCTTCCAGATCCGCTCTAGTTCCTCCTCCTGCTGTTGCTGCTCCTCCTCCTCGTCCTCTTGAAAGGTTCCACACACACATCTGTTCCTCATGCAAGCTCCACACCCCAAGACTGATGCATCCTCCTCCTCTACACGCCTCACCAAATAGAACAACTTTTAACTCCAGGGAGGCCTTGTCGGACTGTGCGGGCTATGCGCATGCCGTGTTATTTATCAGGGACCGTACCCTCCAGCCATCACCGTCCTCACCAGTGGCGCAGATTCGACCGAGTTATTTGTAAGGGATCGTGCCCTCCCCCCCCACCAGCCTTGCCAGCAGCACACACTCTACCTCCAAGTGACGCCGTGCCAGACTGCGCGGGCTATGCGCATCAGGGGTTCGTTACCGAGGATCGTGCCCATCCAACCACCACCACCCTCACCACTAACACAAATTCGACCGTGTCACTTGACAGGGATGGCGCCCTCCACCCTCCACAGACCTCACCAGCCATGCACATTATACCTTCAGGGAGGCCGTGCCGGACTGCGTGAGCTGTGCGCATACCGTGTGTATTAATCAGGGATCGTGCCCTCCCTCCACCACGCGCCGCACCAACAGCACATATTCCACGGAGGTATGTATCAAGGATCGTGCCCTCAGGGATCGCGCCTCTTTCCCAACATCCCGAGTGGGGATCTCGTTGCTCCCCACATCCTGGTGGGGTTCTTCTTTTCCCAGAACACCCACTCCTTCCTTCTCCCTCCTTTCCCCCCCTCCTTCTCCTCCTCCTCCTCCTCCTTTCTCCTCCTCCTCCTCCTCCTCCTCCTCCTCCTTTCTCCTCCTCCTCCTCCTCCTCCTCCCCCTCCTTTCTCCTCCTCCTCCTCCTCCTCCTCCTCCTCCTCCTCCTCCGGCTCATCCCTCCCGGTCCTCCCACTCCGCCGCGGAGGCCTCGCCTGGCCGCGGCAAGGCGCTCGAGCAGCATACTGTTTCTGAGAGTCCGTGCCTGTCCCACCCACACTCGAGCGCCATACAATCTCTCAGGGCTCGCGCCCTCCCCACCTCGCCAGCCTTCCCAACCCCCCGCTTCCGCAATACCACGCCTCCCCCTTCTTGGGAGCCCGCTTTCCCTCCCAAAGAGGCCGTGCCGTCCCGAGCGGGCTATTGGAAAACCGTGTAATCATCAAGGTTCGCGCCCTCCCCATCTCTCCAGCCTTTGGAACCCCCACCTTTCCCAATACCACGCATCACCCTCCTGGGAGCCCAACCCCTCCTGGGAGGTCGTTGTCCGTCCCAGGGAGGTCGTGTCGGACCGAGCGGGTTATCCGAAAACCGTGTTATGGTTCGTGACCCCCCCCCACCTCTCCAGCCTTCCCACCCCCTCCTGGGAAGCTGTCCTCCCTCCCAAAGAAACCGTGTCGGACCGAGTGGGCTATAGGAAAACTGTCTCAGTGAATATCCGGGTTCGAGCCCTCCACACCTTTCCAGCCTTCCCAACCCCTCCTGGGAGGCCGTGCCCCTCCCAGGAAAGCTTCGTGCCCTCCCCGCTTCTTCCGCCTCCCCACTACCACGTTTCCTCCTCTCGGAGGCTCTTCCCCCCTCCAGGGAAACCCCGTCCGACCTCCTCCAGCCTTCACACATATTGTTTCGTGGTAGGTGGATCTCTCAAGCTCTCCGCCGCCTCTGGCGGTGCGCGTTGCGAGCAGGAACACAGCAAAGCCACAGGAAACCGCTGTCAATGCCGCGCTTTCCTGTGGCGTTGCTGCGTTCCTGCTCGCAACGCACACCGCCAGAGACGGCGGAGAGCTTGAGAGATCCACTTACCAAGAGTGCGTTTCACCCTCGTTGGAGGCCGGCCCTCCCCCAAGGAGGTTATGTCGGACCGGGCGGGCGGCCCGGCACCCCCCTCGAAGCCTGAAGCTGCATTGTTTGAGGATTTCTTGGGGCGTTCTTAGGGCACTCTTTGGCGCTCTTGAGCCCGTCTTGAGACCATGCTTGACCACTCTCTGGGTTCTCGCGGGACATTTTGGTGTCATCTTAACGCTTCAAGGGCCCATCGGGGGTGACCCCGCGAGAAAACAAAACGAACATTGAAGTCAACATTTCTCCTCAAGGCTCTTTAGGAGAGTCTGGGAGAGCACTAGGAGCCATCACCAGGCCGCCTTGAGGCCTCTTGAAAGCGCGTGGAGGCCATCTTGAAATACGTAGGCATATCCATCGCCATTTCTGAGGCCACCTCAAACTATCTTCGCACCTCTTGGAGCTATCTAGGGCCGTGCTGAGCTCTCTGGCCGCTCGCGGGAGTGCTCTGTAAACCTAGATGAAACATCCGCCTGGCAGAGGGGGTAAGGGAAGGGGAACACCCTCTGCCGAAGTAGGCAACATGCTTGAACGAGCGACCCCCCTGAAACATAAGGGTCAGATTCCAAGACGGGGGTGGGAATGCGTCGTCAGCATCCGTCCTCATCCTGCTTGCGCTTTCCCCTCCTCTGCCCTTCCATGCGTGCATATCACTGTCATGAGCCACCCGTCCATATTGCTATTGGTATGGCCCGCTGAGCTCGCGACGCGCTCAACATCTTTATGTGGAACTCCGATAATGTATGTTTTGAACGCAGGCCTTGTTACATTTCCGTTTTCGATGCCCTTGAAATGTGAAGATGGCTCCGAGATGGCCCAAAAGGGCCTCAGTGAGGCCCCCCCCCCTCCTACTCCGCCCCCCCCCCCCCCCCGTCGGGGCAACGCCAGACAACGCCAGGCAACGCCAGACAACACCAGTCTATAAAAAACACAAAACACAACAAACACAACCTGTTTCTTGTTGTTTGCGTGTTGTCTGGCGTTGGCTGGCGCCGCGGGCGCCCAGCCAACGCAAGACAACAAGAAACAACATACACACAACACGCAAACAACACAAACAAGAAAACAACATCCAGACAACATCCAACCAACACCCAGGTAACGTTCAACTGACATCCAACGGGGTAGACACGGAAGAAGCGCGGGAGAGACACGGGAGGGGCACGGGAGAGGGGGCAGGAGGGGTGCGAGGCAGGAGGGGCAGGAGGAGGGACCGCAGGGACGCGGAACTCGTCGAACTCCGCAATCGGCCACCCGCCGAAAATCCTCCGCGGCGTCTGGTCGCGCACCCTGCGCGCGCCCCGCGTGATGACCGTGCCGCCATGGCTGATTTTACAAACCATTGCGAGCGGATCCGCATCCTTCTTGCGCAAGGAGCATTTCGGCTCCCCCTGCGATGCGAGCAGGGCCTCAATGTCCTCGTCCTTCGCTGCGCCGTCGTCCAACTGCAGCTCCGCTGGTAGATCTTCAGGATCACTTCGCTGCGCCTCCTCTGCTGGCTCTTCTCATCCCCCGACTGAGGCGTCAGGCTGGGAGCCGTTGACAAGGATGGCAGCCTGGGGCCGTCGAGGTGGGCGACACGCTGCGCGCCGTCGGGCTCGGCTGGGGGCGTCGGCCTCGGGCTCGGCTGGGCCGCCAGGGGGGGCCGTTGGGCTCGGCTGGGCCGTCAGGGTGGGCGTCGGGGGGGCCGTCGGGCTGGGTCCCGCGCTGGTCGACGGGCTCGCTGTCGGCCTCCTCTGCCAGCTGGTGGCTGTCGGCACTGGCGCCTCCCGCAGGCTGCGTGGGCTCCTCGGCTGGCGCCTCCTGCATGCTGCCTACTGCAGACGTGCTGCTTTGGCGTATGAAGAGCGCCTGAAGCACGTTCTGCGCTGCCGCTGCTTGCATGGGGGCTGGGCTGGCGCCTGGGCTCTCCTCGGGCAGAGATGTTATCGCCGCGTTTGCGATGACAGCTGCTGCGTCTCCTGGATCAGTTGTATCACCTGCAGGGGTCAGCAACGCAGTCATGCCGCTGCAAAGCGGTCATGCCGCTGCCCCTGGATGGAGAGATGACATGGCTAGGGCATGAGAATAGAGGCTCGCCACCTTCATCGTCCGAATGCAGCGGCACGTTCGCTGCAGGACGCGTGCTGACCGCGCGCATCCTGGACGACATGGCGCGCGCGGGTGAGCTTCCGACGCAGCGACTCGCCATGGGAAGCCGCTGAGGGGACGTGCTAAGCGGCCCCGCCGCTGAAGCACGAACGTGTGAAGCGGTCGCACCGATGAAGCACCTGCATTGCGATCGTCAGAACTACGATCGAAAACTGCAAAGCAGAGCGGTTGGCCCGCTGAGGAGGAGGGAGAGGATGGAGAGGAGGGGGAGGAAGAGGAGGAGAAGGAGGAGGAGGAGGGACTACGTTCTGCGGGTTTTTGCGCAGACTGTTATTTTCCGCATTTTTCGATACTTTCACTATTGTCAATATGTTTCACTGTTTTCACGATGTTGTATCATTTTTCCGCTATTTCTGTACTATATTTTACTACTTTCCGAATTTCACACGATATGTTGATAGCATACTGTAGTGTGCAACAGAGCCCTATAGTTGTATATAGGCAAGCCACGCATGATAGCAGAGGATCCCTCGACACGGAGGCGGCGACGGCCGAACGCTGGTCAAAGACGGTCCGCAGACCCCTCCCAGGCTGCATGCCGGATAGTTTCGCACCCCATATCTACCCATGACGGTCCTGGGGTTATGTTGCTCCCATCGTACTTAAGGACCACATCCCCAAAATACTTTCGAGCACCCAGAAAAGTGTCGAAACAGTGTCGGACGAGTGTCCCCCAGGGCCCGGTACGTGAAAACCCTAGAGTTTCTGCACTTTCTCCTGGTGTTCGACCTTCTTTCTGGTGGTCAAGACTAAAGTAGGTTGGAACATCATACTCCTGGGGCCCGAAACGGGCCGGGGCCGAAACGGACACACGACTTGCTTCTGACTTCGATCATCGCCATCGGTGACGTGGCAGTGTATAGGATAGGCGCCTCCTGCGAAAAAGTATTCGAAACCCTGTGGGGGCGGGGAGGCAACGCACGCAGAGCGCGGCCGCACCGCCTTGGCGACAACCACGCCGAGCCAGTGCCGGACCCAAACCGACAGGAGCACCTTCGTCGCCTGGGAGGTCGCTTCCCTTCGGATCGGCACTGGCCCTCCTCATCCTACCCGAGTCTCTCATGTCATCCGGCTCCTCCTCCTCCTCCTCCTCAGCCTCCTCCTCCAAATCCCCTCCTCTCCCTCGCCCTCCCTCGTCCTCATCCTCCCTCCTCTCCTCGTCTCTCTCCTCCTCCTCCTGCCCCTCCTCCTCCTCCTCCTCCTCCTCCTCCTCCTTCTCCGACGACTTACGCTCGGGCCATACCGCGGGCCTCAAGAGGCAGTCTTGGGACGACGCCGGCCCCCTCCGAAGGCCCTCGACGGGGCGCAGCTGCCGGAGGACCCCCTCGGGGGCCCGAACGGCTGAGAGGTACCTCCGACCCCCCCCCCCCGAGAGAAATCACCCTGGGGCTCACTGCGGGCGTCTTGGGCCGGCGCTGGACCCTCCTCCCCACACCAGACGCCAGAGGCTCCGCTAGGGATGCGGGGAGAGGGGGCTCGGCGCCGACCCAAGAGATCTGCGCGAACCTCGAAGACTGTGTGTGTGTTGGTGTTTGTGTGTGTGTTTGTGTGTGTGTGTGTGCGTGTGTGTGTGTGTGTGACTGTGTGTGTGTGACTGTGTGTGTGTCTCTGTGTGTGTTTGTGTGTGTGTGACTGTGTGTGTGACTCTGTGTGTGTGCGTGTGTGTGTGCGTGTGTGTGTGTGTGAGTGTGTGTGTGACTGTGTGTGTGACTCTGTGTGTGTGCGTGTGTGTGTGTGTATGTGTGTGTGTGTTTGTGTGTGTGTGTGTGTGCGTGCGTGCGTGCGTGCGTGTGTGTGTGTTTGTGTGTGTGTGTGTAGGGGCTGTCGCTCTTTGGTCACATATCCTTCTCCTTGTTTCCCTTGGATGTCTCCAGGAGAGGTTCCTGGAGGCCTCTCGAGGCCGAGAAGAAATGGTCTAGGAAAACTGCGTCATCGATTCTCCCTCCTCCTCACTCCTCCTCTTCCTGTTCCCCCCCCCCCGCCCCTCCTCCTCCTCCTCCTCTTCCTCCTCCTCCTTTTCCTCCTCCTCCTCCTCCTCCTCCTCCTCTCCTCCGCCTCCTCCGCCTCTCCTCCGCCTCCTCCTCCTCTCCTCCTTCTTCTCCTCTTCCTCCTCCTCCTCCTCCCCCTCCTCCTTCTCCTTCTGCTCCTCCTCCTCCTCCCTCTCTCCTCTTCTCCTCTTTTCTGGAGGCAAGCTCACGCAAATCCTGACTGGAGGTAAAAGCCTCCTCCTCTTGCTCCTCCGCCCTCCCCGTTCTGCTCCACGCCTCCTCTCTAAGAGCTCCTCCTCCTCCTCCTCCTCCTCCTCTTCCTTCTCCTCCTCCGCCCCCTCCTCCTCCTCCTCCTCCTTCTTCCTCCTCCTCCTCGCACCACCAAGTGTGCCGGCAGAGCGGCCGGGGCCTTTCGCCTGGGACTTCCCCAACGCTCACGACTATGAGGCGTGAAGCTCTCAACCGCTGTACGGACCGAGGCCAGCACGTTATCAAGACGTGGCCCTCGCCGCAGCGCCGCGCTGCACGCTGTCGCCAGCCCCAGCAACAGTGGAGGGCGGCTGGTTTTCAAACTGTGGTTCTCGCCGTCGCGCCCCGATCAGCCGTGTTAAAAGCGTCCTGCAATTGCAGGCACGGAGGGTGATTTCCAGCATGCGTGGCTATCGCCTTCGCACCGCGCACCTTCGTCTTGCAATACCCCAACAACTGCAAGGATAGAGAGCGGTTCCTTGTCGACATGGGGCTCACGCTTCAGACTCCCTGAGTTTGTTCGGTCAAAATTGCCTTTTTTGCAACAGCTACACTGGTGGACGATGTACGAGATTCAAAACGGAGCGCCCACTTGATACTTCGTACTTTTTGCGCGACAGCAGATCAGATACCGTGCAACGGAGTGAGGGCGGCTCCTTTTCAAAACGGGGCCCTTGCTGGACACACCCTTCAATTGATCATACCTCTTCGCGAGCCTTCCTCGCCACCGTGCCCCCTGGTGCGCTGAGGCGTTAGAGGACGCCAAGTGATGCCTGGTGGGGCTTCCGTATTCTTCTAATCGGCGGCGTGCAAGGTAATTAGGGAAGCGAGAAGGGGCGGGCCTTCCACGAAGGCTCAGAAGTGTTCTCGGCCTTCCCCGAAGCCGCAGAGAGAACCACCCAAAGGCCAGAGGCCTTCTGAGAAGCCCCGCCGCCTGCTGAGAGGGCCGCCTCCGTCTCACTTCCGCCTCTCGCTCGCCGACGATCCAGGGCCGCCCCAAGCCTCCCTGCAGAGTTCTGCGCGACCCGCCCCTCCCCGGGGGCACCCGAGCGCCCCGACGCCTCCCTGGCGCTCTCGCGCAGCATTCAAAGGCACCGGAGATGGCTTCCCGGACGGCCGAGGAAAGAGCCTGTTTTTTTGTTTGTTGAGGCAAGTTTACTTGCATGGCGTTCGCCCTCCCCCCCCCCCCCTCGCCCCTCTTCAAGCGAATACCAGCGTGCAGGTGCCTTTCGACTTGCGTGATTTCCGCGCCCCCCCCCCCCCTTCAGGGCCTTTCAGCCCCCCCCCCCAAGCGAATACTGCGTGCAAGTGCCTTTCGACTTGATTTCCGCGCCCCCCCGGGCTTGCTTCAGGCTCAGCCCCCCCCCCGTCCATGCAAGTAAACTTGCCAGAGTCTATAAAAAACAGGCTCAAAGGAAACGAGGCCACCGAGATGGCTGCCCGGACGGCTACAAGACCGCCCAATGCGGCAACCCCAGCGGCCCAAGAGGGGTTCAAAAAGACCTCCAGGAGGTCCCGACGATGCCGAAGCCATGCTTTCCCATCCAGTGTTTGAAGTGATGCCCGCAGTCTCATCATTCCGAGCTTCTGTAAGCCCATGGCGGCCCAAAGATGGCGCAACAGGCCCTCAAGAGGGCCTGAGGATAACCCAAGATGCCTCCAAGCCAGCCCAAGAGACTCGTCAGAGCCCCAAGACGGCCCAGAGAGGGTCCCAAGACGGACTGCGAAGGCGCCAGACGGCCCAAGAGCACCCTTTTGCGGCCCAAGGAGCGCCCCAAAGTCCCCGAAACGCCACCAAGACACCCCCAAGAGGCCTCCAAGAGGCCCCCCGAGAATCTCCAAAGACGGCTCTCCTACAGGGCCCTAACATGGCCCAAGACGGCCTCGGGGGACCCGCAAGACTGCCCCACAGGTCAAAAAAAGCCCCAAGATGGCCGAATTAAGTCTCTCGTGGGAACTCTTGAAGACAGGGAGACGATATCAGCACAAGTGACGGCCTTCCGGCCTGTGTTCAAAGCGTCGTCGCACAGAGTCCTTCGCTGGCACGGTGCTGAATTTGCCGCAGGCACCTGGGTAACTAAAACGATGCAGGGCTGTGCCTTTGTAAAACGGAGTTTTCAACTGAATGGCGGGCCCGAGGATCGCTCGTCTTTCAAGCGGGCGCTTCCCGCAATGAGAAGGAATGCGTTCAGGGACTTCAATGGTGTAATCCACCAGACCTTTTGGGCGTAGGTGGTTTATGGCTATTCCTCTTCAAGCCCCCTTGTCCTCCCTCGGGGGAGAGTTCGACACTGTTCCTTACTGACACGCACAACCCCTCCCCTATCCGACCCGCGACAGACCCGGAACCATAAAATCCTCCCCCGCCATCCCTGTCAGCAAGCTATGCAAAATGCACTTGCCGCAAATATAAGGTCATGGTCTGGTGGGCCGCCAGCACTTCGTACTGTCTTGTGACGGGAACGGCGGGGGTGCCAGCATATGGCCTGCCGTGCGCATGACCACCACCCCTGTCAACAAACCAAAACTCAATGCACTTCGAGGCTGAATCTGGATCATGCGCGGGCACCCGGCTATCACTGCACGTAGGTCTTTGACAAGGACTCTGGAGTGCTGGCATGTTGCCTGATGTGTGCAGGCCCACCAGACATCATGATGGGCAGTCCGCCGCGATCGTGCGTTGTTTTCGAATAGGATGGTGGGGCCGACATGTTTCCCGATGTGCGCGGGCGCACCTGCGTGCTCCGAACGTGGCCCACCTGGCGCGGCTGGAGCACGCGGCGTACTTAGCGCACGTGGGGCATCTGGCGCACAAGGCGTGCCTGGCACGCTTGGACCGCAGGGGCGCCGGGCGCGCCTGGCACGCGTGGCGCACCTCGCCCCAGCGTCCCGCACCTGGGGTCCGTACTGCTTCCCAGCAGCAGCTCATCCAAAGACGACCACTGAATATGCTGAGGCTCCGGTGCGACTCGTGTGGCTGGAGGGCGGGTGGGAGTGAGGCAAAGAGGTTGCGTCTGGGAGAGGTGTCTTGACCCCTCCCCCCTCCCCCTCCCCCTAAGTATGGACAGGGGGGCGGCGGACAGTTAGAGGATCCAAGAAGGCATCAGCGAGCGAGCAGGCACATCATGGATATTGCTGCGGTTTGTGGCCCATGTTGGCCTCCTTTGGGGGGGGCAGGGCTAATTGACGACCCCCCTTCTTTCATCGATAGCCTGCAAGATTGCCCCAAGACGGCACGAAACGCTCCCAACAGAGCCCATGGAGTGCCCCAAGAGGCGCCCAAGCGGCGTCCATGATGCCCCCGAGAAGCCATCAAGCGGCCCCATCAGGCCTCCAAGAGGCACCCGCTACGCCACAAGAGGCTCTGAAGACTGCCGATGCGCCCCCAAGGGCACCCCAAGAGGCCTTCAGAGAGGCCGCCCGGGCGCCCCGAGAGGCCCCGACTAGCCGCCAGGATGCCCCCCAGGAGGCCATCGCCCCAAGGGGCCCCGACGGGCATCCAAGAAGCCCCTGGCCCACGGAGGGCCCCCTGGGCTCTACGCGAGGCCGGGCTCCCCCGAAAAGGGCAGCTCCCCTTTTGCATGTTTTCCCTGCTGAGCTGTCGGGGGTACTCTTGATCGCGACCGCGAGCGGACACCCGCGCGGCGTCACAAAGTCAGACAGACCAGCGAGGGGCAGCTGCGCGAGCTGTCGGGGATACTTTTAGGTCAACAGGCTCGCGAGGCGGGCCGAAAGCCGTCCGAACACTAGTCGGGCCGCGACTAG